GTGGTCAATTAGGGAAAAGGGAAATAAAAAAGACAATAAAAAATAAAGAAATAAACAAAAGCAAAAAAGAAAAAAAATTATTTACCTTTAGAATCTTAGAAACTAAACTGGTTCACAGATGTAAGGAATTCAAGAAGACTTCCTTTCTTCTCTTCCTTTTTTAAAAAGATTGTTTTAAAAACTACCCCATCATTCAAACATCTAAAAGTTAGAGTCTGGCTACCACATAATTCTCTAAAACCTACTTTTCAAGATGTACACTTAATCATTTTTTCCTTAAAATATCTTCATTCTATAAAAAATAAAAAAGTCCTATGAGAATATTGACTCAATATATTGCAAAATCCAGAAAAGGCTTAATTGGTACCTCAAATAAACAGCCAACTTGAGGAGAGAAAAACTGTTAAAAGCAAAAGTAATATCACTTAGCATCTTACAATTAGGCAGAAGTGTGCATATGGAGGGAATTCAGAATGGGGGAGAAGAGCAAGACAATGTAAACATTTATGCCTGTAGATAGAATCAAACTACTAACAATTCTTTAACATGTTTTTGTGGTTGGGGTGTTTTGTTTTTTTTAAGAGAGTTAATGATAAAAATAACAAAACTTTTAACTAAACGTCCATTATTACTGCTTTGGAAAGCTGCAGAAAATCCTTCTTCTCTGCCATTTCTCTCCCTATCTTCAGCACGACCCCCCCCCCCACGCCCCCAAAATTTAAAACTCAAAATACTAGAAGCAACTGAAAGTTCAAATCGAATTTTTACATGAGGCACTACAATTCATTAATACATCTAAGAAAATCAGTTATATCAAAGTCTCACATGTTCTGGGGGATGGGAATAGGGGCGAGGATGGTATTCAGTTTCTTCCAGGATCATTACTTGTGCGGATGGTAAAATGACCCAAGATTCAGCTTGGAGAGGGCAACACAGGCAAAAAAAATGATACCTAAAAAGTAATGACAGGGGAAAGCAAGGAGAGAAGGGGCGGATTGCGGGTGGAAAAGATTTTGGCTTCTCAATCCTATTTTTCTTTAACGGAAAAACCGACGGGAGCTCAAGGATGGGTGTGTCTTCCAAATTGCACGTTTTAAAGGAAGCCAGTCCACTCAAAAAAAGCTGGTAATGCAGGTGAGAAAGGAGGACTGAAGATACGGAACTAAAAAGAGAAGGGAAAAGCGCGGGCGATCAAGCTGGCAGTCTAGGGACGGGAGGGAGAGAATAAAGAGGACAAGTGAGAGGATCCAGAGAAGAAAACTGGGACAGCTCTCCAGCGAGGCGCCCTCGCGCAGGCCAAGCAGCAGAGGGAGTCCTTTCCAAGGATTTGCCCCCGCCCCCAAATTTCACAAATGAATGAAACCCGGAGACTGGAGAGCGGGGTGCCTTCCTGGTCCCAATCCTGCCCGCGCACCGGGAAAGGAGCTCACGGTTCAGGCGCCCATCGCTCCTTCCCCCATCCAAGGGCTGCCTGGCCCCTTAGGGCCAAACGAAAACTAGTCTAGAAGCTTTCTTTGCCTCTAGGAAGTGGAGCGCGCAAGTCTAGCATCCTTCTCAGGCTTTTCAGCCCGCCGTGGAGGATGCAAACCTGTTCAGCCCTGAAGGGGTTTCCCTCCACCGCACTCGGTTTATCCCCACCCAAACCCACCCTCCATCCCTCTTTTCTGGGTGTGAACGACCTCTCCCCTTCTGGGACGTTTTGGGACCATTCCAGTCTCATCTTTTTGGTAGAAATACAAACGTCTGCACCAGCCACAGGTCCGTAAGGTGCGGAAAGGTGAGGGCAAGGAACAAACAATCCCACTGGCCCCACACCATCGGCATCTCCCGCCATTTCCCTCACCAGTCTCCCGGATGTAACCCTTCCTCCCCCGCCCCCCTCCCCCCGCGGCGGTTAAAAAACCAGACGGCGGCGACTCCCTTTGGTGCAGGAGGAGGGAACTCGGGTCTAGTCCAGCCTCCGCCGCCCAGGGTTTCCGGCGACTCTGAATTGCTTCCCACTTTGGAGGCCACAGGGGAAAAAATAAACTACCCAGCAGATCTCCTACACTTTACACTCACCATCAATTCCAGCTTATCGACCTCCTCCTCCATGTTGAATAGTTGACATTCCTCAGGCCCCGGCGGCGCTTAAGGCGCAAACCGTACTAGCACTGAGCGTCCCTATTGGACAGCTGTCACTCAACATCTTGCACTCATTGGCTGCTCCGCTTCACCAGCGCCCGCCCATTGGCGATTAGGCAACGCCTCTCCCTCATGTAACACCTTTTCCAGTTGGGCAAAGGCACAAAATGCCGCCGGAGGGTTGGTTGCTGTATACTTATATTTTTACATTGGCTGCATCCTCATCTCTACTTTCAATTTCATAGTTAGGGCTCAGCCGAGAAGACTGCGATTGGTGCCCTGGGAAGAAGAGCCAACCAATGACACAAAGGCTTCCACAAAGAGCAAACGGGAAGTGACACACCTTCTTTCCTCTCCTGCTTCTCTTCCCCTTCACTCCCGCCTTCTCCTTATTCATACGAGAAGCGCCTCAGCTCTAATTGGCCGAAGCGTGTTGTCGTCTCAGCCAATCACAAGCCAGGCCGTGCTCCTACGTTACTGGGAGACCTGTGCGTGGGGAGAACGAGACTACGATTGGTCCCTTCTCCGTAAGGTTTTAATTTTGAATTTTTCTTCATGGCGAGGGCGAGGCCACTGCCTGGACTTCATCTAAATCCCCGGCTCTTAGACTAGTAAGTGCAGGGATATCTTTTCTTTGTTACTCGGGCTCGCGTCTTCCGTGGCTGGGCCTGTTGCTGCTTGTGTTCCTAACGGTTTACGGAGGTGGGGGCTTTGGCTGGACCCGGAGGGGAGATGGAGCGGGGCAGAGGAGGTCGAGGCGGGTAAGAAGTGGTCCGCCTGGTGCCACCCTCATCATATTTCTATTTAATTAACACTCTGAAAATTATGTTTTGGAGGAAAGTATCTGCCTTCCTTTTGCACAGTCCTTTACATCTTTGCTACTCGAAGTGCGGTCCATGGACCTACGGCATCTACATCACTTGGGAGCTTGTGCACAATGCAGGTTATTGGACTGCACCCAAACTTACTGAATCAATAATGCGTTTTAACATGATTCCTCACTTACACAAATCCAGTGATTCTCATGCACATTAAAGTTCGAGAATGTTAATTTCTTGACAGGTAGTATTACTATAATCCTTCATATAGTCTTACTATCATCCCACTGTCAGTGAGAATGTCAACTTTAGAAGTATGCCCTGTATACTATGTACCTAATACTGTGCTGGACTAGGGTTAAAGAGCTTTAATTTCTAAAGAAGAAAAAAAAGAGCCAGGAACTTAAAAAGCAATGCTGTACAGCATAAAATGTAAAATTAAATATATGAAAGTACCAGAAAAGCCCTAAGGATGTTCAAGAGGAATCAATTGAACTGGTTGGTAATGGAATTTGATTAATGGACTGAAAGCTGTTTATGGGAAAGTGTAAGAAACCTCCATAAAAATGTGTTTAGGAAGATATATGACATAAAATACATTATATTACACGCACACCTATACAGAAAGAGATAACAGATAATTGGTGAATCTAAGTGAATGATATGAGTGTTTAGTACCCTATTCTTTAATTTTTCTCAAGGTTTGGAAATTTTCAAAATAAAAAGAATAGATGAAAATAGGTTATAGCAAAAGACAAAAACAGAAGAAAGCCCAGGGAAAAGATGGTAAAAGCAACTGAAGTTAGAGGACAGAAGGGGAAGGGATGGTAAGGAGAAGGTACAGAATTAAGTTAGTCAGAGGAATATTTATGACTCATATATGAATATATGTATGTGTGTCCTGTATAATACTAAAGGCCTGGTGTACAAATTCGTGCACAGGTGGAGTCCCTCAATGTGGCCTGCAGGGATTGGGCTGATACTGGCAGTCCAACCCTGCCTGCCACTCCCACTCATCCCAGATCCCAGCCGCTCTGTGCCTGCAGCAGGCACGAGTCCAGTCGTCCTGATCGTGAGCCCTGCATCCGGCGCCTGTCCCGAGGGGGATGGGAGGGGGGCCAGGACATGATCAGCCCTCTGGGTGGTCGGTGGGATGCCCTTGCCAGCCTGGGATCTGGATCCTTCCCTCTGGTGTTCGCTCCGGTTGTCGGTTGTCGGGAGCCACCTGGTAGCTGCTTTTATATCATTTCTTCCTTGTGGAGCGTCTAGGGATGGGAGGCAGCCAGTGCCTGAGGCCTACTTACAGGAATCTGGAGGCACTGTCGGGATTGTGCCAGCAATGCCAGTCCATCGGTGCCTGGCCCGTTTTCTGGAGATTGGACTTGCAGGACTACTGAGGGAGTGAGTGGCTGCACCAGACTGGTGGGCCACTGGGACGGGTCAGTCAGCTGAGTGGCGCTCCTGCTGTGGGAGTGCACCAACCACCAGGGGGCAGTTTCTGCATTAAGCATTGCCCCCTGGTGGTCAGTGCACATCATAGCAACCAGTCGTTCTGGTCCTTCCGCCCTAACCGTTGCTTAGGCTTTTATTATATAGATACTTTATATATTCTACTCTACAATGGAGTATCCTAATTTCTTCACTTATTTTTTTTATTTATGTTGTGGTATAGATTCTTTGTAATTGGCCTTAAAATCTTCTCAAAACAGGGCACGTAAAAAGGAAGGAAGAATACTTTTCAATTAAAAAAGAAAAAAAGGAAAAATGCTTTGAGTAATCATGGAAGAATGAGCTTCTACCTAGTATTAGTAATTGGAATCCCACCTAACCCAGCAAAAAGAATTTGTATGTTTTTATTACTCTTTTGGAAAGGGGATAGTTACGGTATATGTGTTTTTAATCCCAAGGAAAATTGCTATATAGTCTTTCAATAGGATAGTTATCCTCTACAGAGTAGAAAGGATATGCTTATTGATGAGAGAGAGAGAGAGAGAAAGAGAGAGAGAGAGAGAGAAGCATCGATGTGAGTGAAAAACATCAATAGGTTGCCTCCCATATATGCCTGACTGGGGATCGAGCCCTAAACCTTTTGGTGTACGGGACAACACTCCAACCAACTAACCAACTGAGCCACACAGACCAAGGCTGTAATAATTTTAATAAAGCAATGAAAATAAAACAAACCTTAGCTTGCTGAGTCCTTTGTCCTGTTTGAGGTAGAAATTAATTATCTTTAATTTTTGGAAGAGCTGTGATTATTATTTTTAGATATATTTTATTGATTTTTTACAGAGAGGAAGGGAGAGGGATAGAGAGTTAGAAGCATTGATGAGAGAAACATCAATCAGCTGCCTCCTGCACACCCCCTACTGGGGATGTGCCTGCAACCAAGGTACGTGCCCTTGACCAGAATCGAACCTGGGACCTTTCAGTCCATAGGCCGACGCTCTATCCACTGAGCCAAACCGGTTAGGGCGAGTTGTGATTATTTTTGAATGGAATATTAGTCTAAGAATTATCTCAGATTGCACCTTTCTACATTGACAGATTTGACATAGTCTCTAAATTGTCTGCATGTGCTAATTACTGTATTTAATTAGAAGACTATTAGAGTGAGAATGACCCAGAGCCCAGGACTCTCTCTCTCTCTCTCTCTCTCTCTCTCTCTCTCTCTCTCTCTCTCTCACAGACACACACACACACACACACACACACAGAGCCAGAGGAGAAAATATGACTTAGTTCCTAGATTTTTTTTTAATTGAAAAATAATCTCCACAATGGCATACATCGGCTTTTGTTGGACTCTTAAGAAATGTGAATGCATGGGTACTGGAACAACCACCAGGAAAGAGCTAAAAAGAGATGGCCCAGTTTCAGAATGGTGGTATTCTATTTTTCAAGCTTATAATATATTCTAAAGGTTAACTGTCAACTACTAATACAAGGCTTATTATAGTTAGAACAAACAAAAAATGGCAGTTCTGTAAATTACCTATAATCCTGATTCCCACTTGCCAAAGGCAACACTGTCCACTCCTGTAATTTTTTCTGACATTTACCTCCATCTAAATAACATACTTATAATACTGTTTCTCTCTTTTTGTAAAAAATTTTAGACACTGTATACATTTAGACAACTACTAATTCCTACTTTTCTTTCTTCCCAATATACCTACATCATCATTTTTGGTTGAGTAAATATTCAATATTTACACTATTAAATATTTAACAGTGGAACATATAGTATTACTATGATTATTTTTTTCTTGCACAACTTTTTTTCCTAACCATTTTTGTATGCTTATATTTTTTAGCACTTAGTAGTAATCTGCCCCCAACTTTACAAAAGTACAGTCAAAAGTAAATGGTTAATTTTCTTTCTTCTGTTACCAACTTCACCTATTACAGTGGATGCTAAGTAAATGTTACTGGCAAAGAAAGTTAATTCTTTTGAGTCACATACCATAATCCAACTATAGCTATTTTCTCTGGCATAAATAAAGGGAAATTCACTTAATTTAATGAAGAAAAGCAAGACAAGCAAAACAAAATTAGTAATGTAATGCCAAAGCCTCTAGAGATAGTTTAAATATGGACTTAAATTTTTCTCTACATTAGAAGACTTCTGGGATGCTTGTAGTGACCTATTTTCTAACCAAGGTGGTGGTTACAGAGTGAGTTTAATTTAAGTTTAATTCATTAAACTATACACTTAAGATTTGTGCATTTTATATATGTACATAGTATCCGTCAAGAAAAAAAAATTTTTTTTTTGTTAATCTTCATCTGAGGATATTTTTTCCATTGATTTTTAGAGACAGTGGAAGGGAGGGGGAAAGACAGAGAGAGAGAAACATCGATGTGAGAGAGACATCAATTGGTTGCCTCCCCCATGCACCTTGCTCAGGGCCAGGGATCCAGTCTGCAACTGAGGTACATGCCCTTGACTGGAATCGAACCCGGGACCTTTCAGTCTGCAGGATGACACTCTATCCACTGAGCCAAACCAGCTAGGGCTTCAAGAAAAAAATTTTTTTTAATATATTTTTTCTCTACAGAAATCATGCTCAAGTTCAAGCAACAAAGAAGGAAGCGAAAAGTAAAAGCAAAAAGATTATTTAAAAAAAAAGAATTCTCTCACTTTCAGTCCAAGCTAGTTACACCTCCCCCTCCACCATCCTCAACAGAAAGGTAAGGCATAATGTGGAACAG